CAGGTAGTGCAACTCCAGAGCGCAAGATTTTTAACTTAAAAGCTTCTTGTGAGGATTGATGAGAGGATGTCAAGTCTTAGCCAAGTGCCAGGCATCTGCTAAGTGCTCAGGCAAGGTTAGTGGGCAGATCATCAGATTCATAGTAACAAGTAATGACAGTCGTATCAGCACTGAAGAGTGACTGTGGCCAGAGCTTTGTCAGAGACATATTGCTTTGTCCACGTGGGACAGGGACAGTCTGGAAAACGAAACTGCCCTACCCCAGTTTCAAGTCCTTAAAAATGCTGAAGCCGCTGTGTCTTCTACTTCCTACTTACATTTCTCTCCACTTCTATTTTTACCCCTTCCTCTCCTTCTTACCAGTTACTGCTAGCTTCGGGGCTGAAGCCCTTTGCCTCTGAAAGTGGCCCCGTTTGTGCCCTGAGTTTGAAGGGAACAATGAATAACTTCAGAAGTTCTCACTTTTATGGGCTAATATGAAAACAGCCACAAGAGGAGAGTTAATGGGGCCTAAAGTTAAAAGGGGGCCTTACCTAGCCCTTGACCTCCAAGTAGAACACTGTGGTTCTCAGGGCACACAGATGTCTGTATTCTTCTTAAATGTCCAAGACACTCATTGTGGAATCTAGGGACTCCTGCCTGGATGTCAGTTTACCTGCCTTGAAAATGATAAACTTGGGGCGCCTGGGTGGCTCAGTTGGTTAAGCGACTGCCTTCGGCTCAGGTCATGATCCTGGAGTCCCTGGATCGAGTCCCGCATCGGGCTCCCTGCTCGGCGGGAAGTCTGCTTCACCCTCTGACCCTATCCCCTCTCATGTGTTCTCTTTCTCTCCTTCACTCTCTCTCAAATAAATAAATAAAATCTTTAAAAAAAAAAAAAAGATAAACTTGAATGATATTTGCCATATGCGAATGTCACCTGTATCTTTTTAATTTAATATTCTTTAACTCAGTTTCTTTACTTACATTTACTTTAAAAAACAAACTATAGGGACACCTGGGTGGCTCAGTCGGTTAAGCATCTACCTTCGGCTCAGGTCATGATCTCAGGGTCCTGGGATCAAGTCCCGCATCAGGCTCCTTGCTCAGCGGGGAGTCTGCTTCTCCCTCTCCTGCTCCCCCTGCTTATGTTCCCTCTCTCGCTGTGTCTCTCTCTGTCAAAATAAATAAATAAATCTTTAAAAATAAATAAATAAAAAGGAAACTATAGGGGGCTCCTGGCTGGCTCAGTCAGTACAGCATGTCACTCTTGATCTTGGGGTCATGGGTGCAAGCCCCACTTTGGGTGTAGAGTTTACTTAAAAAATAAAAACAAGCAAAAAAGCAAACTATATTATCACTATTTAACAGAAAACCAGTATCCCCTGTCATAAATAGAAAAGGCAAGAAAGCATATAAGGAAGTACAAATAAAAACAAAACAATCCCAATACTAGCAGGCAAGACCTTGAGCTGAGGGCAGCTCTCATTTTGTTAAAAAGGGAGAATGGCGAGTTTTAGCGAGGCGTTGAAGACTTTCAAGCACTAAACTGAAAGTGGCTCCTGCGGGTAATCAGGTTGAAAGAATTGAAAAGGGAAGAACCCCCACAGGCTGAGATGTTGCCTCTTGACCCCGCCAACCTCCTAGCAGAGTATCAGTGGCTCACTTTCGCCCTTGAAGACACAGTGGCCAGGACAGTGTGTGGAGTTTAAACGTCACTAACATCCAGTCTTCGCTCTGATTCTCTTCGGGTGTGCGGGGCAGGTGGGGAGCAGGAGATACTCCACAATGAGGGCGCCGTGAGGCTGTCCCCTCATGCCCTTCCTTCTCGGCGTCTCGCCCCCTCAGGCACAGGGGAGGTGAAGCCGTTCAGCAGAATTTGGTGTGCACCCAAGTCTTCACCCACCTGCTCCACCTTCCCAGGACCGCAGGAGGCAAGGGGGAGGGGCCGCTCTTCCTGTCTAACCTTCTGGGGGTGGGAACACGTAACTCACAGAGGCAAGCAACCCCACTTCGGATCAGGGTCCCTGCACTGCCAAAGGGTATCTGAACAGGAAGGGGACGCTGAGAAAGGGTTTTCTGTGGAGCAGAATGTGGACAGTGACGCCTTCGTCAGCAGGCAAGGGAGAGTTAGGGGAACCCAGAGGGGGCCCCAACTCCTGGTGGAGAGTCGTTGGCTGCCACCTCTCACCAACTGATGTACCCCCTCTACCAGCTGAGGGCCTGCACCCTCCAGGATGGAGGTGGGGGAGCATTGGGCAGGACCACTCTTCCTATAGTTGCCCCCTATACGAAAGTCTAGGCTTCCAGGGCCTCCTCCAGCCCCAGGATGGAGCCCATGGCTTTTCTTGGTATTAGCTAGTTCCTGTGGCCTCGGGGCTGCCATAGCACCAGCAGCATGGAGCTCTGTCTTCCCCTGAAGCAGCAGAGACGTCCACTGTCTGCAAACTGCTTAGGAGGCCGGGAGGCAGCCACCGACCAGGGAGGACCCAGGGATCCCTGTCCTGTGTGTCACTAGGGGGGTGAGCAGTGGTGTGAGGAAGAGAAGAGAGCCCCTGCAATCTCAATAAACATCTCCGAGTCCCGGCTACATTTCCAAATAAGGCAAGGCTTTGAATATTTAGGAAGACAGAGGAGAGGAAATAGGAGGCACAGAGAAAGAGGAAAATAAGAGGTCTGTCTGGCTCAAAGGAAGTGGAATTTAACCTTCTAATAATAAAAAGGAACATGTGTGGCCCCGGCTCAAGAGTACAAATCGAGGCCCGTATACCACGTGTCTCCATATATGAGTTAGAAGTCAAGTAGCAAACTTAAATATGTTCTTCCTTCTGGAAGCTCAGGTCTGCATCTGGAATTCTCTGACTTCTTAGAGTTCTGCTGTGGAATGGGATGGTTCACCCCCACCCGTAGAGGGGTCTCCTGTGCACAAACTGGATGCCGAACCGTATGTCCCAATGCAGCACTGCTTGCACGCAGCCGTCCCCTGGGTCTAGAAGCACCTCGAGCCATCTGCCCATGGGAGGACAGAGCAGGAAAGAGCCCACCCGGCCCTGTTGGCAAGTTTAAGCACATTTAGGCAAGGGATTTGGGAGTCCTGGGTACCTGGAGCATGGTTCAGAAGGGGGAAGGAGGTGTGAGCTCCCCCCTACCAAGTCCCCTTGAACCTACAGCCTCCTGGCCCCCGTGGGATGGGTTACAGGTGGGCCCGCAGTTAGTTTGGCAGTAATAACAAGAGCTACTGTTTGATACCTTCTGCAGTTTACAAGGCACCCCGAGCTGATCAGAACTCGAGATACGCAAGATTAGTTCCCCATTATACAGGTGAGAACACGGAGGCTGACAGGGGTTAGGGACTTGCCCAGAGTCCCCTGATTGTAATTCCTGTCCCTGAGCTCTTCCCTATTTGAAGAATTCAGGTGGCTAGTCCTTACCCAACATGGCAGAAGCCGAATGTCTTAGGCAGCACAAAGCAAGGTAAAGGGACATTTCCTGATGGCGTCACAAGAGGCCAACTGGTATGGTGTTAGCAGGCCCAGCGCATTTTGGCATCTGACCCCTCCTGTTCCCACGAAGTTTTGTGGGCAGAAGGTAAGCCACAGACTGCTCTCTTCTGAAAGACAACTTAGATAAAGCAAGGCGAGACTTCTGCATTCTCAGCTCACAAAATATTATAAGACAGTGCAGCCCCTTCAGTTTCTGTTGCAAAAAGCGTCGCTCTTTGGTAATGGCTCATTTCCCTTTTTGAGTCTCAGCAAAGACTCAGCAAAATTAAAAACAGTTAACACCACCTCAGCAGCTAATGATCCCAGAGAACAGGTAGGAAGTGTGACCCTGCCCTTGGCAGGAGGCAGCTCTGCACCCCCACGCTGCTGCTCCCCAATTACAGAACACGGGAGGGACGGAGGCCACAGCTCGTTCTGACTTGTCAACTCCAAGCTGTGGGCAGGACGCCTCGCCCATCAGGCTTCCCCCTTTCTCCCTCCTCCCTCCTGAATATTTATGGTGGAGGGAGCAGGTGGGAAAGAGGCAGCGAGGAGTAAAGTCTCGGGATGCCAACCCCCGGGGAGAGAGCGTGAGTTTGGCTCTTAACGGGCACAGGCTCTGCCCTGGATCTGTGATCACTTTTAAAGAACGATGATTGTCAACAATGCGTTCACTTCTCTAAAGGCTTTCCAGTCCTGAGCCCTCAACTGGAACAGGAGCAGACGGAGGCCTTGCTCTCTCTCCCTGGGCCAGGTGTGAGCTCCTGAAGAGCCCTCATCGGTGGTCTCGCAGAGTGGCTCCGAAGTGGGATTCCCGGGCCAGCAACATCAGCACCACCTGGGGACTTGTTAAAAAATGCAAATTCTCATGGGCTACCCCAGACCCCGGGAATCAGAAACTCTGGGGGTGGGTACAGCAATCTGCATGTTGTTAAGCGATTCAGGTGAGTCTCCTGGGGGACGTCACCTTCAGGCCCTGGTGTCCTGGAGTCAGACAGACCTGCCTTGAATCTCAGCTCTGCCCCTTAGCAGCTGTGTGTCTGAGTCTTAGTTTTGGCACCTATAAAATGGGCATACTATGACTTCCTCAGGGTGAGCTGAACAGATTAAGATTATGCATCGACATGCTTGCTTATAGGGCTCCATGGGCGGTCGCTCTTCTGTTTCTCTGGAAGTCAGATGAGACAGGGTAACCCCAGGAAGGCCTCCTTGGTCATGCTTGCAGGCCACATGGCAGGCCCTTTCAGACGTGTGGCTTCTGACTCATGCCTAAAGCCACCTCCAGCACCCTGTGATTCTGTGCCTGCTTCTTAGTACTGGACCAGGACTGACAATGTTGGTAGATTGCTTGATTTCCAACTTCTCTAAAGGAAACTCTCCCACCTTTGAGGGCAGCGCGCAGACCTCCTCGGGGGACTGTAGGTGCTCTGTCAACCACTTTCCCAGATAAGGAAACCGAGACAGACAGGTTAAGAAACTTGCCCCCAGTCAGGATGCAGAATCGGGCAGGCCAGCTCCAGAGTCCCACCCTCCAGCACGGTGCTGTCTACAGGGACACCATCTAAACAGGGCAGGCCACTGGCATCCAGGGGATCCGAAACCTTAGGCCACGGACTCCTCTGCTAACCTGACAGATGTATGTGGCCCCTCTGCCCAGGAGCACACGAACTTCTGCACACGCTCTCAGGCTCCCTGAGCCTCTCCCTGCACCCAGGGGCCTAAGCAACACCTGCGTAGGGCTCTTGGAAGGAAATAGGAAGGACAGAAGAAGTCCAGGGTCACTAGCATGCTCTGCCCTCATTACGCTCCACAGGGTGGGCCTGGGGCTGGAGCAGCAGGGGTGGGGCTGTGGGGGGGAGACTGTGGCGGTGGCAGGGAGGTTTTAAGTCCTTCTGTCTGGAGGGTGAAGTGTGTGAGAAGTGGGCTGGGAACACGGGGCTGTTTGCAGAAGAGCAGGACTGAGATGCTCCATCTCCTTGGGCCTCTGGGAACTCAGTCTGGAAGAATCTGCTGATCAGCACAGGCCGGGTGCCTGACTGTCTCGAGCCACCCAAGTGTCATCCCGCCAAGAGGCAGGGGGACTTGGTGACCTCAAGACCCCTCCCAGCTCTAGGTGTGTTTAAGTCAGGGACAGGAGGTGTGGGCATCTGAGGACTTCACACTTCAGCCTGCTCAGTGTCCGGGAAGGTGGGCGCCCCCCCGCCCCAGTTCCTTGGCACCCTGGAGAAGACTCACGCGAGGCATCTGCCATGTAAGGTGTAGGCAGCGAGGCTCCCTGCCCGGGAACCACACGCTCCGCAAACCTGGCCCTTGGCTCTGCGCGCTTTACGTTCAGGTGCCTATAAAGCCTGCTGCCCTGGTAACCAAGGGCCAGTGACCGCATCAGACACCACAGAGGCACTGAGGGCAGGCCGGGTGCTGCTACACCTCGCCCAGGACAGGTCAGTCCGTCCGCAGGAAGGCCGGATGCTCCACAGCATACGCCGCCCACCCAGCATGTGGCCCAGGGCGCCTCCCATCAGGAAGCCTTCTAGGCAGCGGGGTGGCCCGGAGGGAAGCCAGGCTTTGGAATCTCACAGCCCCAGGCTGAATTCCAATTTGACCTCTTGCTGACTTAACCTCTCTGAGTCTCAGTTTCCTCCTCTGTAAGATGGGGCCGCCCCACCTGGCAGGGCTGTCGTACGTGGGCACAGTGGCAGGGACTCAGCCATCGGCCCCTCCTTTACTGTGATGCCAGGAGCTGGGCCTGTGCCGAGGCTCCCAGCCCCGTCAGCCCTCGCAGAGCCCCGCTACAATTGTAATCTCTGCATCGCAGCCCAGCGTGGAAGCAGAGACACCCCTCGTCCACGAGTGTTCTTCCAAGGTTAAAGTCACCAAACCTTGCCTGGGCGTAACAAGGCAGAAGCGTCATCCTGTGTCAAGAAACACCTTTCCAGCTGCCTCCATCCCAAGGTGGGCAGGTGAGGAGGGGAGGGAAGGAAAGCAGCTGCGCCTTAAAGACAGAGCCAGTGGCCACGCTGGAATCTTTATAGGATATCCTCTCACTCCCGTTCACCGAACCACCTGCCTCCCGGAGCTGGGGGGAGACCCGATTCCCAGCCCACCCTCATCTCCTCTCTTTTCGCTTCCTTCCTCCTTCCTCCCTTCCATACTTCCCCTCCTGTCTTTTCTCTTCTCCCCCCCACCCCGACTTGTAAAACCATCACTGGGTGAGCAGCACCATCGAGCCACATTCCCGGGGAAGTTCGTCCAAGCCGACTCCGTTGGCCCCGACTGTGGGCCGCACTGGGAGATGTGGCTTTGAGAGGTGGGCAGGGGAGGGGCTGAACAGCTGGTACAGGGGACAGGCCCAGAATCTAGTGAGGGAAAGAGACCAGGTCAATGAGTTCGTCCTGACACGTTAGGTAAATCGGGAAGGTGCGAAGACACAGCCTTCCAGAAGCCGGTGATGAGTGCTGATTACACCGGGCTCAATTCTCAAGGTTTTCTATGAGTTACCACCATGCCACTTACCACACGCAACAGCCAGCTGCACGGCTGGAACAACCACAGCCAGTCAGGTTGAACTTGCCCGTGGTGCAAGGACAAGGAGGCGGTGAGACTCAAACCTGGGCTGGCGGCCTCCAGAGCTCAGAACCAGTTTGAGACACGACCAGTGTCTACAGGGCGTCTGTGTAGCTGGCCACCTGTTGATGAGGGAGGCAAGATGGGTGCGGAGGTGGCCACTTTTCCAGCTGAGGCTTACGAACAAAGTGATGTGGCTAGCCCAGAAGTCAAAGTGAGGGGCAGAGTGTGGCCTGGGGCCTTGGATCCCCAGCTTTCCTCCTCACATATCCCGCCCCCAGGTCAGGCGTGTCTAGACTGGTCCCAGCAAGGCCATAAAGAGCAGGCATCAGGCCGGGCTGGGATGGGTACTGGGCGCGGGGTCTGCTGTGGGCAGCAGGGGAAAGTGGGAGGAAGCACGTTTGTTGAGGATCTGCTATCTGCTAGGTACTTCTGCCTACAACCCAGGGGCTTATTTACCTCTCATAGCAGCCCTGAAAGGCTTCTCAGTTCAGATGTGAGAGGGTAACAGCAAGGCTGGGCCAAAGCATCCAACTAGGAGGCAGCAGAACCAGAACTCCCACGTGGAGCTGGGTGCCCAAAGCCTCCCTCCCCTCATACACTGCAGGCCTGGAGGTCCCTCCCGCTGGCAGGCAAGGGCAGGAACAACATGTTCTCAGGGGGGTGCACAGGGCCAGTGCATTAGCTGGCTGGAGTCTGGTAAGCACAGAGAGTGTGACCATCTCCGTCACTCTCCTTTGCATTCAAGCCTACGGCAGCCTGAAGTTGAGGTCATCTGTCAGGCTGAGGCTGGGCGCTGTGCCCTTCGGTCAGCCTGCCACGCACAACATGAGGCCTGGTGCAGCTCAGCCTACGTGGGCTGGGTGTGTGGGGGGGACTGGGTGTGCCGGGTTGGCTCACTGGCACCCTGGACAGTCACATTACAGAACTTGTCATCCCCTTTAGAGATGAGGAAGTGAGGTTCTAAAGGCGATGTCACTCAGGGCCAGTGCCTGGTGGAGCTGGGGCCAAGGCTTCCTGACTCCCAAACCATGTGCTGCGCCCTACACCCTGTGTCCAAAGACGGGCCCAGCAGCACCCACGCTGGGACGACCTCAGCGGCAGGGGCTGGTGTGGCAGAGGAAGGGCTGAGGGGACCAGGAGGGCAGGGGCTGGGGATCGGACTGGACAGGGCAAGGCCTGGAAGCAGCCCAAGTCCTATGCCAGGGCCCATGAGGACCCAGTCCAGCGGGCACTGGTCAGCCGCACTGGTCTGATCAGTTAGGCCAGGGCCAGTGTTCTGGGCGATCCATCTAATTGGCACAACACTCCCACCAGGCCATGGAGTGAGGAGTCGGGGAGACAGGTGTCAAGAACCAAGGAGAAAGCCAAGGTTCAACCAGGGGAGCAAGCGGGCAGGGTGGGCAAGGACCTCTTGAGTTTAGGGAGAGCTAGATTTGACTCTTGTCTAGGCTACTTGGTAGCTAAGTGACCTTAGGTACGTTACTTAACCTTTCTGAGCCTCCTTGTGTTCATCTACAGATGGGGAAATAATTGGGGTGAAGACCTGGCGTAGGACAGCACCGGGCTGGGGTTCTGGGCGGCTGATGGAAAGGCTGGACCCTGGGTCTTGGCCCGCTGACTACTCCCAGCCTCCACCTGCTGTGGGGCCGAAATTCCTTCTGGGATCCTGCCAGGGTCCAAGCTGAACAGGGAAGTGAGCTAACCTCAGCCACTGGGTGGAGGGCTGCACTGACTCAGGCCCCGACAACGCTGCCACCAAGGAAGTGAGGATGGTGACAGATACTAGAGGCTTTGCTCAGAAAGCCCACAAAGGTAAGCCTGGGCTGTACACGTAACTGCCCATGGAATGAAATCTCTCAGCTGATTTTTGGCCCTCTCTCTTCTACTTGGAGTTCTCTATAAAAGCATTACATGGTCTCAGAAGCCGGGGTCCTGCAGTGACCTCCCCCCACATCATGTCCAAGCTGATGTGGGGGCCCCGAATCTTCTCTAAGGAGCACTGGGCCGAAGATAGCAGAATGAGGAGTCTTCGGCTAATGACAGCCCCTCTTGTAGGAGCAAGCATTTTCTTAGAAGGACCTGTCACCCGCTAGTTGAAGAGTCAGCTCCGGTGGCCGCCTCTGGCTTTCTTTGTTGAATAACAGGAGGAGAATGAAGATGTGTATGGTCTAGAAGATATACGAGGGCATGTACTGAAAACTGGCCCTTGGGATTGAATCAGAGACTATGAGGCAAAGCCAGCTTCTTGGGGACTCCCCGACCCTCACACTGAAAAATATCCTTCTCTTCAGCAAGTTTTGTTCACTCCCCGAAGCACATGAGCTAGTTCCACAAGCCTGCCGGCGTCACGTGAGACAAACCCCATGAGTGAGTCCAGTGCGTGGGAACAGCCGTGTCTGAACCACTGTCTGTCCTTCTGCTGGAAGATGCGTTTTTACTTTCCTTCCTGCCTCCCCAGGAAGGAACGATCCTTTGTGAAATGCCCACGAAGGTGAGCGAAAGTCTGGATAACTCCCACCAGCCAAGCAGCCGACATCTCCTCCTCCAGGAAGCTGGCCTGTTCCCCCTGCCCCCCACCCCCCAGGGCTGCATCCTCACGGCTGGCCACCCTCTTGCCCCTTCACTCCACACCCATTTCAAATCATTTCACTCACAGGGACACCTCTTCTACTTCTGAACACTATCTCCCTTCAACCGAGCGTGTGAGGCCCCCTCTACTCTGCTCCGAGGTGGTCCCCATCTCTAAGTGCAGTGATGACTTTACTTTCAAACAGACATGCCCCCCGTTTGTAAAACACCTGAGGTTGGGATGAGTCACCACCCAGACCACTGCCACCAAATGATCACCAGCACTGGAGTTGGTGGAAAAACCAAGGGAGAGATTTCAGGCTCCTGCAAGGGGAGGGGAGACAGGAGAATTTATTTTTAGTTAAAAAAAATTTTTTTCGGGCGCCTGGGTGCCTCAGGCGTTAAGCATCTGCCTTCGGCTCAGGTCGTGATCCCAGGGTCCTGGGATCGAGCCCCGCATCGGGCTCCCTGTTCCGCGGGAAGCCTGTTCTCCCTCTCCCACTCCCCCTGCTTGTGTTCTCTCTCTCGCTGTGTCTCTCTCTGTCAAATAAATAAAAAAAAAAATCTTTAAAAAAAAAATTTTTTTTTTTCTTCTAGATATCAAGTTTCAGAAAACCTTTCAAGAGTGTCTTTTTTAATTCTGTGGCCGGAGAGAGGGAGTGTATCCTAGCCTGAAATGGTGGGGAATGTAAGGTGCTCCCACTGGGTGGATTACTTCCCTGGCTAATCGGATGTCTGCAGGATACCGGGGTGCCCGAGCTCTTCCGAGAAGGAGCGGGTGGATTTATGGCTCTTGGGGTTGCTGCTTCTTGGGGGGCAAGCTCTGTTCTTTCTGCATGACTCTCGAAAAAGAACTCCTGGGTCTGATCTAGCTCCTTTCTCTTGGATTTCCAAGCCAGCCTGTTCCCCCAAGGAATAGCGCTGCAGAAGCCTTCAAGGAACCTGAAGAAATGTAAATTACTACTCATGTCAGACCATTGTTGCTGGGAGCACACAATCTGAGGGTTGCCTACTGCAACATCAGCTTCAAAATACACAGCTAATCCAGGACAAACCAGGACAGAACACCACCCGGTACTGCTGGCCAAAGCTTCAGAGCTATCCTAATGTGCATATGGGACCGGGAGGCTGGTGGCCCCTTTCGGGACACCTGCTGCCCCTCCAAGTCTCGGCTCCACCTCTCTGCCTGCTCCTTGGCTGTGGTTCAGTCCACAGGGGCTTTGAGGAGATGGGAGGGAGGGAAAGATGAAGGGGGTCTACCTCCTGTGGGTCACAGCAGGCTGGAGATGCCCCCTGTCCCTAGCCCTGGTTAGGGGTAGAAGGGCCTTACTATTTCTGGGAATATAAAGCACAACCCCATAGGATTCCTACACCCTGTCTTCAAATATCCTCATATTATCCAATTGGAGTATGCCATTTCCTGCCAAGACCCTGACTAATCCAGCCACCAATCAGGCTCTCATTAAATATCCAGGTATTCATTACGCCCTGGAACCAATGTGCTTGACATATTGTAAACATGGACATGAAAAGACTTCCACCCTGGCACAAGCCATAGACCACTTCGAGGATCCCTGTCTGAACACCCAGGCCTGACCCCCTCAGTCTCTAGGACAGGGGAATCTTCTGGAGCCCAAGTTTAGGGAATGGAGGATTCTTAGAAGGCCCGTCTTTCTGGGGTCCCCCGTCTGGTTGGCAGGTACTCTCTTACAACAGAAAGCAGGGGTCTGACACAGCCTTGGGTCTTGGGCCTGACAATTGGCCATTCCAGTGGATTTCCTTTTTTGCGGGGCGGGGGTTAAGTAGGCTCCACACACCCAGTGTGGAGTCTAATTGGGGCCCGAACTCACAAGAGGGCCCTGAGATCAAGACCTGAGCTGAAATCAAGAGTCCGACGCTTGACCGACTGAGCCGCCAGGTGTCCCTCCAGGGGATTTCCATTCTAGGGGAACCCCCTGGAGAGGGAGGGCTGGGAACTGTCACATCACGCTGTCCCCTGGGAGCAAGACCGGGAGAGGCAAAGGGCCTGTGGTTGGGTTTTGGCACTGGCCTTGTAACAGCCTGGAGTCAACACTGGTGAAGAAGGTCACAAGAGGCTATAAAACAAGGTAGAATGTAACCAGCGGCTAGAAAAGTGATAGGCACGCCCACTGTCCCCTGAGTAACTGTGGCCACTGTGCCCCATTCAGATGTCTTTTGGTCTCCTTCAAAGGTCTCAGGAGAGCTCTTGCACGTGGAATGTGTGCTTGGCATGGCTGCCTGCTCCCCGGGGAGAGGGGAAGCCCGGGCCTGCTCGGCTCTGCACCCGGCCCAGCTGCAGCTCCCTTCTGCACGTTGCCCCGGCCCTCCCGGCACTCGCTCCCCATCTCACCAGGGCTCGCAAGGGTCTGTCGCACGGCACCGGGGTTCTTGCCATCACCCCCCTTCTAGATGAGGTGCACGAGCAGGGCAGAGCAGGCCGAGCCCAGGACCAGGCCCAAGCACAGGTAGAAGGACATCACCACCCCCGTGGCCTCAGCCAGCTCGCGGGGCACGATCTTCGGCCCGTACATGAGGGCCAGGGTGCTGAGGTAGCCGTTGCTGAGTCCCAGCAGGCAGGTGAAGAGCACCGGGTAGAGGTCAGACCGGAAGAACACCGTGTGCAGGCGGCCGCGGGGCTGATAGTTGCAGAACATGAAGAGGGGGAGGAGACAGGTCCGGAGGAGCACGAGCCCAGGGAGCACCTTGCTCCTGGGCCCTGGCACCTGAATCCAGGCTGTAACCTGCCGGCCACACAGGTCGGCAAAGTTAAACAGGAGGAAGGTGGTGAGGGGGACGAAGAACTTGGTGGTCCACGGCGAGCCCGAGCCCTTGTCGAGGGACTCGATGTTGGTGGAGATGGCGGGGAAGACGAGGCTGGTGACGAAGAAGAGGTAGACGACACAGAAGCCCAGACCAGCTGTCTTCTTCAGGATGGGGCGGAGGGGTGGTATGGAGGGGTCATGGGACCCAGGGGCTGCCAAAGGGGCGCTGGGGGAGTCCTGGGGTGCCTGATCTTCCCCAGAAAACACGTGGGCTGGCCAAGCAGGCCTCAGGTAGAACCTGTGGGTAGAGAGGGCTCGTGGTCAGAGGGCCCCGGAAAGCAGGCTCACCTGGGATTTCCAGGGACATGGCAGGGGACCTACAGGCCTGGTGCATAAAGCCTCAGGAAGCCCTCAGACATGCGTGTCTCGGGGCGGCCACAGGGAGGCCCCCACGGTCCCTGGCCTGCCCATCCTGGTGCTGCCTGAAAGGCTGGCCACGAGCAGAGACAGAGGGAAGCAGCACTAACTGCCCCCTCTGTTCGGTCTCACTCCTTAGGGGTCCTGATGGTTAAAAATCTGGTGGCTGTGGCTCTACAGATGTGCATACACCCCCCTCCCCCACCACATGTCCTTCCTAGTTCTGTTTCTTAAGCAAAAGTGGGATCAAACTATACACATTGTAAAACTTTCTGCAACAGGACAATTCCTAAATACAGTATATAAATGCATTACCTAACAGCCCAAATAACATCCTTAACGATGGTATACACATGCATGCACATAATTGCGTCTAGAACAGTATCTCGTGGCCAACCTTTAACGTGGAGACACATGTCTCAGTGCCCCTCTGTTGTGTAGCGTATTTCATTGTATGCATATGATTTAATATTCATTGTATGCATATGCAATTTAACCATTCCTTTACTGACGGACATTAAGGTTAGCTCCAATTTCTCTCTACTACAAATAATGGTGCGATGAGTAGTCCCACACATACAACCTTGCACCTGTATGTACTTCAGTAGAGCAGATTTTTAGAGGAGGAACTTCTGGAGCAAAACGTTTGTGTCTTTAAAATTTTGATAGCTATCAAGTAAATTGCTCTCTAAATAGGTCGGACCAATTTGTCTCTGCTCTGTACCACTCACCTGCCCCATCTCCAGTCACCTGCCCTGTTAATCTCTACACGGTTGTTGGTTTCTTCAAAAACACTGACCACAAATTATAACCATTGAGTTAGTTTCTGGTTTATCATCTGGCTCCTTCAATAGAAGGACCATGTTTCCCTGTTTCCAGCTAAATCTCCAGGCACAGAGTAACCCTCCAAAACATAATTATAACTAACATGTCTATAAAGGTGTCTTTCCCCCCATATCCTCAACACTGAATATTATCAATATTTTCCATTTCTGCTACTCTGACCACAGTAGAAGACACTTGGGTCACTTGGCCTCACCGTCTTGCTGTGTGACCTCGCCTGAGTCACTCAACCTCTCTGGGCCTCAGATGCTGAAAGCCAGGAGACACATAGGCTGACTGCATGACCACACCTCACACAGAAGGCTTGGTGTGGGGTTGGGAGAACAGTAGCTCGGTGATGGCTGGCTTCTGGTCTCAGCCCCCGTTCTGTCTCCCCATGTGATCTTAGGCCAGGGACGCCCTTCTCTGGGCTCAGTCTCCTCCTCTGTAAGATGGAGGGGTGCTGCAGCTGTGAGCTTCTGAGCCCCCTGCCAAGCCACCCATCCTAAGTGCCTATGGGTAATAAGTGAGTTGGTGGGACGGCTCCTCCTCCGAGCCACTTTTCCGTGTGATGCTGAGCTGGGCACTGCAGCCTTGAACTCTGTCTTGTTCCAAAACCACTATTTAGGGAAAGGAGTATTCTTACTTTCCCCACTACTCAGTGGCAGGTCCCAGTTTGTAAGTTAATAGACGTGCCCAGGCTGCTCCCCTGGTGAGTCGCAGACCGGGGTTTGAACCTGGATTTGTTTCCACAGCTGTGCCCTTTGCACCATGTTTGAGACACCCAGCTCTGAGAGGGCTCCGCCCCAAGGTGCCCTGGTCAAAGCTCTTCCTCATCAAGCTCTTCCACATCTGTCTCATGTCGCCCTCCCCGAGCCAGCAGCCCCCCACACGGCCTGGGGCTCCATTCCTCCTGGGGGCAGCCCCCATGGGCTTCCCTTTTAACTACGATTTAGTCTGAGCAGCCCCAGGAGCATGGCTGTCTCCAAAGCTCCTTCCTCAGATGCGTTTCTGTAAAGCCAGAAGTCTTGACCAAAGTGTTAATTAGCAAAGAAGGAGAAGCTTCCATGGGACAGCATAGCCCCTGGCTCAGTTGGGAAGGATTTTGTGAGGATTTCAGTTGGAAAGTGAGACTGGAAACTAAGGTGACCAACTGTCCCCATTTGCTGACACTGTCCTGGTTTTAGCACCAAAAGCCCCTCATCCTGGGAACCCCTTCAGTCCCAGGCGAACGGGGAAGGTTGGCCACACACTGGAGACAGACCCATGTGAAGCCCCATGAAACAGGACACAGGGAAACAGCAGGAGAGCTGGGACCCCCCCCCCCCCGCCTTCTGTCCGTTCCATGACTCAAACATGGTGTAAAGGGCACAGCTGTGGAAACAAATCCGGGTTCAAACCCCGGTCTGCGACTCACCAGGGGAGCAGCCTGGGCACGTCTATTAACTTACAAAGCCTCGGTTTCCTCATCTGTAAAATGGGGAAGGATGGTAACAACTGCACACAGTTGTGAGAAGTGAAGAAAAGACACCCAGGCATAAACCGCTGAGCTCAGCGCCACCATACAACATGGGTCCCTGTGGGAAAGGGCAGAGCCAGGGCCTGGGCCTCCCCAGCTCAGCCGGCTTGCCCACTGGGCAGCCTTCTCTGGCTCCGCTTCTTCACCTGTAGAACGGGGCAAATAACTCCTCCCTCTCCTACACCAAATACGACGTGGATCGGAAAATGCCTTGTAAAGAATAAAATGCAAGACAAAGTTAGGGGCTATTGTTAAAAGAGAAGCAAGAAGCACGAAAGAAAGAGGGATGAGAGAGAGAAAGCATGAGAGAGGCTGAAGTGAGAGAAAAGGTCCCCTGGGGGAGGGAGGCCTGGGGAGACAGTGGGTACAACGCAGCTCTGGGGTCAGGGAGGCACTCAGGCACGTCGTTCGACCTCGCGGAGCCAAGCCGGGGTCCTCGTGTGTGCACGGGGCCGGCCGTGATGCACCTTAGTGCCGCACCCCACGAGGAACAGGTGCCTGAGCCCCGGATGAGAGATGGCCCATCAGGCTGGGCTGAGCACAGTGCAGAAGCGGCAGAGGCGCTCCGCGAATGGAGCTGTTCTTCATCACTATTATTCCTCAGTCCCACTTCGGGCGCCTGCCCCCCCACCACCTGTGCAAAACCTGGCATACTCCAGCTGCTGGGGGGCGTGCGGGGGCTGCGGCACAAAGCCGGCTTCTCGGATCTGCAGGCCCGGCCAATTCACGGAGCAGCTACACCGAGCCAGCTATAGCCCGAGGCTCTGGGGCCCGGCAGTGAACAAAATCCACACCATTTCTGCCCTGGTGGTGGTGGTGGTGGTGGGCGGGGGGGGGTGGGAAGCGGCTCTCTCCCCGGTGGGGAGATGCACAGTAAGCGAGAAAGCAACCTGGCCACCCAGTCAGATAAGGGAAGATCGCAAGCAGGTCCGGCCGGTAGAAGCAGAGCCGGGGGGCCGCCCGACGGCAAGGCGGGCCTCACCTGGCGTACTCCAGCCGTGACAGCAGCAGGTAGAGGCCGACGCAGAGCCCCAGGAAGACGTCCGCCGTCAGGAAGAAGGCCAGGGTGCTGTCCGTCACGTCGCTGGACGCCGCCAGGTCCACCAGCAGGGCCACGGCACTGATGGTGCCCCCCATGGCTCCTCCTGCCGAGAGCACAGGCCCGTCACCGAGATGGGCAGTGGGCCCACCTTCCTTCACCTCCGACCCCGGACCCTCCCTTTCTCTTGACTGCCCTTCTGGTGGAGTCAGCAGTTTCAGACTCAGGGCCGGGACTTCTCGGAGAGCTCCTCTCCCGGGCCCTCAGCCCAAAGCACCACCAACCGAAGCGGGCCGGACGTTCAGGGAATGTTCTAGCACGGGCCCTCCTGTGGCTCGGAGCAACACTATCCCATCCAAGGAGTCCTCGTCACTTACAGAACCGCCATGTGGCCCACCGGCGAGCTCACGGAACTGACCTTGTACCCCACGGGAGGTGTGGCACATACGCACGCGCTCACGCTTTCTCATATACACTCTCACACACACACACGCACATGCATGCAACCGCCCTCCCACATGGAATGTTCTCTCTCGCCAAGGGCTTTGCCACGTGATCCACGTGACTCCGTGCCACCACCATTCACTGCTACCAACAGAGGAGGCGGCACAACCTAGTGGATCCATGGCTCTGGGCGCCAAACAGATGTACATCTGACCCTTGACCCTGCAGCTCACTAGCTGCCACTTGGGGGCTAATGTGACTCCCTGGAGCCCCAGTTTGCTGGTCTATAAAATGGGGCTAACAAGCCCTGCCTTGCATAGCTGCTCTGAGGACTGAATGTCCGGAAAGGGCCCAACACAGAGTCGCCTTTCAACAAGCACCAGTCCCCTTCTTTGCCACAATCACACCGTCACTTCTGGGAGGCGGGGGGGTGGGGGGTGGGCCTTACTTTTCTGTTGAACCCTCACACCCGTGGCTAGTCAACCTGTGCTGGGCAAGACTAAGAGGTCAGACATGTTGTGCATGCCCCCAGATCACTTACTCCTCTCCGCCTCTGTTTCTCTGCCTGGAAAATGGGGCTAATACTTGTCCTCTCCGTCCCCCGAGGCCTGGTGAGTATGTTGTACTGCTGGGCTGAATGGATGCGTCTGCCCGCATTCGAGGACCAGGATACTGATTCTCAGGGAGACAAGGAGGTGGCTCACTGCAGACAGCAAACAGCAAACTGGTCTGTGTGGGCAGGGACGGCCCTGTCATTGTCATGCAGCTCTGACCAGGCGGCACCTTCTGCCTGGTGTCGCACGAGCAGTGGTGGAGAGCAACGGTTGAGGGCCTCGCCTACACTCTGCCCGACGGCGCTGTGGCTGAGCTTCCTTTGCCTGGGCAGGGCCCGGCATCAGGATTTGAAAGGATGGCAGAGAGATCAAAGTTAGCACAGTGATGACGAAGAGCACAGACTCTGGAACCAGAACATCTGAATCCAATCCTGGTTCGACCGCTTCCAGCTGTGCGGCCTTCAGCAAGTCACTGAACCTCTCTGTGCCTCCATGTCTTCATCTGTAAAGTGGGGATATTAGTAATACCCACATCAAAGGGCTCTTACAAAGATAAAAAGGATTCTGAGCCGGAAAGCATTCAGAAAGGTGCCCAGCACACAGAAGGGCCTATGAATCCTCTCAGATCCCCAATTAGGTGTTCGGCTATTTCTGTCCTTCCTACATCAAAGCAGCAATGACAGGGTAAACTCCTTGCCAAGAGGGTGCCAACTTCGGAGACGCTGTAATCCCACCTGGGTGTTTTGTAAGAACTGGAGCTCAACTTTAGAGTAAAGACACTTGCCTGCTACCCTGAGGAACAGATCTTAACATCACTGCCTATTGATTTCCCTCTCTCTCTCCTCAACTTGTAGGGAATTTACAATATTATCATCAACAACAAACCAGGCCTCCGGGAGCTCATCTTTCATGACTCCCTACTTTTATCTCATCAGTTATGGAAATACATGCAAATGAGGGGTTTAAAAAAACACCAGCACAAAACAAATGAATTGTTCCTCCCATGCCTATACGTGCAGAATTCACAGATGGGCTCCTCTGGACGAGAAATGACGGGGGCTGGGGCGGTGGCGGTGGGGCCTCTGGGAGCCGGGGCCACCTCGGATTTTCCAGGGTGGGGGGCGCCCAACCCTCCCCCCGGCCCCCGCAGAGTGAGGACACTGACTTAGGGCCCCGGGGTAATCAATACCAAAGTGCAAGAGCCGGACTTTTCAACTTTTTAAAAAATGGGACTTTCTGAAACATTCACAGGAGAGTCCCCTTTTCGAGAAGATTCACAGGTGGCCAGATGAACTCGAAGGGCCCCCTGCCAACACAAATGGTGTTTGGTCCCTGGCTCCTAGACATGTAGCCAGCAATGTGGTTGTAATGAAAAATACATCCTTTGGCAGGATGGAGGGAGTTGAGGGGACAAGAGCTTCTCTCAGACTCGGGTGACAGAAGAGATTACATCCAATGCTCGCGGGCCATTTCCCTCAGGCTAGGCATGTCCTTCTCAAAGCCCTGCTAGGGGCATATTGATTGTACTCAAGAAACTTAGCAATGGGTCCACTTTTATTTTACTTTAGACCCAAGGATTTCCCCGGGTAGAGCCAGAAGCCTAATCTTATGTCCAAAATGGCAGATTGAGCTCACATCTGAACTCTGATCTGCAGGTAGGAACAGCTCCAGGGCTGAGTTGAGAAGGGGCAGGAGGCTCAGGAGGAAAGATACGGATCTAGTAGTGATGTCTGGCACTGGTGCGGGCGTGGGGCGGGGATTGCACACTTGTCCAGGTATTTGTCATCCCTGCCACATACGGCCTGGTGTTATTAATTCATGGACACAGAAGAGATTCCTAGTGAAATTCTTCTCAAGTGGACAAATGCTTACAGCACTCCTTCATGCAACAGGGATGTGCCCGGACGCCGAACACAGCAGCTGAGTCCCCAGTCTGGCGTTAAGGGATGGTGGTCTTCTGCAAAAGCACAGATTCTTACTGACCCACCTCCTTTTTATCTTGTTGGGACATCTGAGCGAGGGAACAGAGCTGCTAAAGGCCTGGACCACGGGCTCAGGATCAGCATCAAACTTCAGCCAAAGGGGTTGGCCCAAGTCGTGCATCTGTGTTTCCAGAGAATGCCAAAGTTCAGGGTCATGGAGGTGTTTATTTGCTAGGCTATCAGCTCCTGAGAGGCTGGGTCTTGTTCATCTTTGTATCCCTGGCACATAGTAGGACTTCTATAAAATGAGAAAGGGAAAAAGGGGGGGAGAAGCTAAGAGGAAGGAAAAGGAAAGAGAAGGGAGGGGACAGGAGAAGGTGTGGGGACGAGGAGAAAGGGAAGAAAGGAATGCTGCTTTAGGAGATGCACTTGGTAGACAGATGTCTGTGCCGAAAATGGCTGCAACTGGCTTCCCTCCCACCTGCTCTTCCTACAGGATGCTTTTCATGTTCTCCCGCTGATGCGTGTGGGTCTGTGTTCTCCCCCCTGGGTCTCCTGGGATGCTTGCTCTGGTGACCCAGGCACCATGCCTCAGGGAAGCCCACCAAGCCATGCCGAGACCCGGCAAAGTGGAGCGCCCCGGCCCCAGACCCAGCCTGGCTGAGTTTCTCGGGAGCGGGTCTCCAGCCCTGTTGAGCTCCATCGGCTGATGCCGTGCGGAGCAGAGGAGAGCTGTCCCTGCCGACTCCTGCCCAGACTGCAGATCTGTGAGCCAAAGAACTGACTGCTATTGTTCGAAGCCACTAAGTTTTGGGGTGCTTTGTTACCCAATAATAGATAGTGGAAATATAGCTAACACTTGTTGCCTTTTCTGGAAGGGTCGCTGCATTCTCACCTCTGATTCCTCCGCATGACCCCCAGGTAGCCTGACCTGGTGGGCCGTCTGGAGTCCGGCTCTCACCTGATATCAGCGCCTGAGAATTCCTCATGGGGAAGGAGCCGGTCATGCCGAAGACACTGCTATTGAAGATGGTGGAGGTGCCGCTGAGGATCGCCATGCAGATAATGGTGACAGCAAAGAAGCCAGAGGTCCAGGAAGAGGTGTCCACCTTCACTAGCACAGTCATCACCAAGAAGATGGCCAGCATGACAGTCAGTGAGGCCAGCACACGGACACGAATCGGAACCCTGTGCGGGGAGGGAGGGACGCCAGAAGCGGTCAGAGATCCCCTTGGGCCTCCCAAGCCGGGCCACGGGTGGTGAAGGTTCTTAAGGGACACTCTGCAGCCGGGAGGCCTGTGCCTGAATCCTGCCTTCCTAGCTCACTAGCTGTGTGACCCTGGGTCAGTGACTCAATCTCTCTGGTTTCAGCTTCTGCATCTGTATAGCAGGGAGGAGAATGGATCCACCTGCAGGGTGGTTGTAAGGGTCTCTGCAGGGGAGTGTGCAGAGTGCAGGGGGCAATATCAGCTCAGGGCAAATGCTCGGCGGATATTGCTTCTTTTCATCTTGCTGTGAGGTTCAAGGACAGGACAGGAGGGCTCTCAAGCCCCTGCTCCCCCACCACAGGGCTGAGCTCCCACTGGCTTTGCCTAGTGTTTCAATGAAGCAACCACCCTCGGGGCTTCCTTCTCCCAAAACTTAGCAGTGGGGGGAGGAGGGAGACGAGCAGAAAATCATCATCATCATCATCTTCATCATCATCATGATATAGCAATTACCCAGATAGTACTTAATTTGTGCTAAGTACTCTTCGGAATGTTTCTACATGCTGACTTGTTGCATTCTCGCACCAGCCCTGTAAGACAGGCCCTCTTACCTGTCCCGCACATACAGGGAAGGAAACTGAGGTCAGAGATGCTAAAGAACTTGCTCAAGGTCACTCCCTGTGACCCCGAGAGGGCTGGCTCCAGTCTGTGTTCTCAGAAGGACACTCTGCTTCCTTGAGTGCCCTCCACCCTCGCCCAGCAGCTGGAGCTGCCCGATACCCCAAGGAAGGGAATATGGGTAGTCCAGAACAGGCCAGGGCAGAAGGATTCTCCTGTGATGGTCTCAGTCGCCACGGGCAGCCGCTGATGCTGGCGCGGCCCCCGGCCCCAGCCCCACACCAGCAGCACAAACCATACGCCCCTCCCAGCCCCCAACCGCCCAGACACTGCCCTGAAGGGAGGAGCGAGAAGGCTGGCTCTCCTGCAAACAGCACATTTTTATTCCAGGGAGAGAGAATATCATTGAAAGGGGCTGTTTAAATCATCAGATTAGACTAAGCTTTAAGCCGGATTGGATGTTTGGTTAATTTTCCTGCTAACCAGTGGGTGGGGGCTGGGAGAAAAGCCAGATTATAGATGCAAAAAAAAAAATATTTTTTTTTGATAAAAAAGAAAGACCTGAAAGGCAAAAAAAAAAGTACCTACATATATATGTACATAAATAGGTGTGAAATGATGAGCAGGAGAAGCAAGGATTTTCCAAAGTGCTTTTGTGGCTCCAGGCTACCTTGAGTTTTCTCTGATCTTCATTCTGATCCTTGCTGGAGGGAGAGCAGGGGTCAGCCTCTGCTGTGTGAGGGGCAGACGGAAGCCTGAGGATGTGAGGAGGCAGTTCAAGGTCGCAGCGTGAGTTCGTGGGGAGCAGGGAGAACCCAGGTCTGCTGAACCTCCGCCCAGGGCTGTCTGCCAACATGCATTCTCTCCGGCGCCTGTTCCACGAGCGTGTGTTGGGCAACTCCTGTGTGTCAAGCACTGTGTGGGATGACCCGGCCCCAGGCCAGACGAGGGCCAGGCATTTTGCTTTAGTGTGCATAGTGCTGCAGCGGGAGGGCCTCAGGGCATCCGAGGGGACACAGAACCCAGCCCGGGGGTCGCACAGTCTTTCTGGGGGTGGCACAGTCTTTCTGGGGGTGGCACCTAAGCTGGAGTGTAAGGTGTGTTGGGATGTGAGTGCACGCGTCTGGTGAGAGGGAACGAGGCTAGCCTCAGGCTGCAGGTGAGATTGAGAGCAGAAGCTGGAGGGAATCGGAGCCCTATCCTGGAGGGCCTGGTCCACCTGCTAAGTGCCAAGGCTTGACCCTCAGAGTAGGGTCCAGGGTGGGCGTGTGGGCTTCGCCTGCCAGCATCCCTTCCCTGAGGAACACTCTTTCTTCCATGCCAAGTTGTTCTGGAGAGGTGACCGGCCACGTTGTCCACCCCTGACCCAGCCACAGATGATGGACACATGATGACTGGGTCTGGGGTGACTGGAGTGTCCCATGCCATGCGGCAGGTCGCTGGATTAGGTCAGGGATTAGCATGTGAGCCAGGCAGGGCCAGGGAGGGCTCTCCAGGGCTGAAAGGTGGAGAGAAGTGCCCTCTCTGCCACGACCGTGTTGGGGGCTGCTGGTTGCCACCTGGCCGGGTGCATGGAGAGAGACCACATTTGGGATGAAGCCAGGCAGACACACACGGAGCCCAGGGACAGTGCAAGAGAAGGACAGCCCTGGAGACATATGTAATCCCTTAGATCCAGCAATGTGTGGAGGCAGCCCTGACTTTAATTTTCCACCTAAAGAATGAGAAAATCCTTTTTGTGTCTCTATTGTCTGTTACAAGAGTACAAGTTAACACAAAGAGGCACATCAAGGTTTCTAGCTGGTGGGTGAACCGTCCATGCACCCTCCCTCTACCAGGAAGCAGGCTGCAAGTGACAGGTAATTAACACTCCCAAGAGCAGGCTTCAACCAGTGATGGGGGTGTGGGTGGATAAATACTCCAGCTCCCTCCCTCTCAGGCGTGTGTTCCACACTGGGTCCCAGAGACCCCAGGCAGGTCAAGCTGGGTCTCTCTCTGTGGGAGCTGGTTTGGTAAGCCATCCTTTATTGGCTGCCTTCCCCTCTCGTTTCCCCCTCTCCGTTCTCCTACCCTCACCTCCCAAATAAACTGCTCACACTTAAAATCCCTGTTCCAGGGGCTGTTTCTGGGGAACCCCACACTACGATGCATCTTCCCAGGGCCTGCAGGGGCCTCATCCTGGGCAGGAGCTGGTGGGCAGCCAGGTAGAGCACCTGGACCCCTGGGGGCCCAGAGGATCCGGTGTAAATGCACACCAGGAGCCCTGGAGGCTGGTGGTCAGGCCTACCTCTGACGTTCTGGGTAGTTCTACACACTCAACTGTGTCACACAGTGCCCTCCACCCTCTCCCAGCAGCTGGAGCTGCCCGATACCCCAAAGATAAGAGCCAGCAAGGGCCCAGAGCCTGGGTCAACATAACGTTCCCATTTACAATTATAAATATTAAGACAATCAAGCGGAGAGAGAGCGTGGGGACCAAGGCCAAAAAGCTTTATCAGACCCCTGGGACAAGAAGGCAGCCCAGGGCAGACTGGAAGACATGAGGAGTACTGCCAGGACAGTGCTCTCCTGTCTTGTTCTCCCCCCGCCCCAGGGCGGACACAGGGCCTGGGAGGGACCTGATGAGTATCCGCTGGATGCACAAACTGACAGGCAAGGGCTATTAGCAATGCAGGGAGACTCTCTGCTTCTTGACCCCCCCCAAGCATGGCAGGGAGACCACTGGGAACATTTGCTCTTTCCAGCCAGCCTTAGGAGTAGCCTCTGCCTCTAACCTTACCTCCTCTCAGCCCTGGTGAAGACGAAGTCCACGCCAGGAATGCTGATGGCATCCCAGGAGCTCTCTGGGGCCTGTCACAACAAGGTAATTAGTTGTCCCTACAGGAAGGTTGCTCTGGAGAGAGCTGGGGGACTTCTCGCCCAGCACCCCCAGGGTGGTGGGAGGTGAGGAGGTAAGTGCCAAAGGCAGGACAGGAGCAACACAGGCCCCACAGGTCCCTTGCCTGCTCAGGCCTCCTCCTTGCCCGCAAATTACCTGCCACGTGACCCATTCTGCGCCTGAGCCTCATCTCTGGGCCCCAGGTCCTCAGGGATCTTGCGTGGGGCTCTCTTCAATGCCGACAAGGGTTTATGAAACATGCCACACGAAGCCCACCCCACACGCAGTAATGGGGGCATGCTGGCCTCACTCTGCTTCAGCCCCTGGGACCCTGGGGCAGGCCACACGAATGTGAGATTCTGGGAGAGGGCTGCCGGCTCCCCACCCCCTTGCTAGAGAGGGCTCAGGACCCCAGGGGGCTGATTTCTTCATAAGTCTCTCAAATGTAAATCCTCCTCATAAGTATTTATGATGCTACAGATTTAACATAATAAAACACTTGGAGATTATGGATGAGCCAGTCAGAGAAAGCCAGGGTTCTCCAGGAGGGGAAAAAAGGAGACATTTCAATCTCGCACATTAAATAAAAAACAGCTTAGCCCCAAACCATCTTCCCACAACCCAGAAACAGACGGAGGCCCACAAGCGTTCCCCACACTGCCTTCACCCCTCTCCTATAGGCAGGAGAGGGCAAGGGTAGGCCCTGGGGTGGGCTGAACCTTCTGGAAGATACCCTATAATGCTGAGCCTTCAGAGCCAGCAGCCTGCCTGACCTTGGGAGGGTGGCTGCCTGGGCGGGCCACAGACCTAGACCTCCTTTACTACGTCCTTCCTTCCAGCTGCCTGAAGACAGGGCAGAGGCCCTCACCAGAAGGCTCTGAGATGTGGCTCTGGACGCAGGGAGCAGCTGGGGGACCCAGAGTTTCCAAGTACAAGTGTGGGGTGAGAAGGGTCCCAGTTCCCATCTGGCTTCACCCTGTTAGTGGCCACGTGACCTCGGTGAGCCTATCTTCCCATCCGTAAAACAGGTACCGAGTCGCCTGCTCTCCGGCTGTTGGGAGGATTAGAGGAGACAAAGCTCTAAGGGGTACGAGCGCTCGGAAGCGCTACTCCAGTGTCCTGAGGGTCGACCTTCCCTGTCCCTGCTGACCACTGTCCCAGGCTGGCTTCTGAGCTGCAGGATCTCAGGACCACAGAGGAGGTACAACGTCGCCTGGGCCTCCCCTCACTGGTCCTGTGGTCTTGGGTGTAGTCCTGACTTTCACGGCTTCCCTCTCAGGTTACTGTGTGTCACCAGGCGTCACCCCTTGTTGTAGCTCGGACAATGACGCCAAATCTAGAAGGGGTGGGGGCTCTCACTTATACGAGGCTGGGCTGTCCCTGCTGGACAAACCCGTGTCCCCAGGGCCAGCCAGGTGAGTGGACAGAGAGGATCATGGGAGAGTCCTGGAAAGGAGGGGGGTGGTGAGAGACCAAGGGGCCCTCCACCACCTCAGCTGTCACCGCCTCTTCCTCATCCTCCTCCCCTTGTGTCCCCTTCCCTTCTTCCTGCCTTCTTTCCTACAGCTCTTCCCTCCAGGGACCGGCAGTGCTGAAAGAACACTTGGCCCTGCTCTGCACCCCACCTTCAAGGACACTGAGGGTAGTCCTGTGTGCCAGAGGAAGGCACGAAGAGGCGGGTTTAGGGTCAGCTGGTTTATGATTGGGGTCACAAGGCCCTCAGGCCATCTGGGCCCCATTCTGCTCTTCATCCTTACAGCCTGCACTTTGGTTTTAAAATGGGTGCAAATTCTTTGCCTCTCCTTCCATTGATAGGTGGGTCTATGTCCCCTTGAAACCAAGTGGGCTTGGGGAGTGCTTGCCCAGCTGAGTCGGGCATAAGTGACGCCATGTGGCTGCAGAGATTAGGTTACAAAAACCACGTAGCTTCTGCCTTGCTCTCTTGAGCACGTGCTCTTCAGCCACAAGACGAAAAGTCCTACTACCTGAGACCAACGTACCAGAGACCACAGGGAGGGGAGGGGAGAGTAGAAGAGAAGAGAAAGAGATGGGTGCTGGAGAAGGGCCAGCAGCTCCAGCCCAGCCCAGCTTTCTGCAACCACATCAGAGACAGCAAGTCAGAGCTTCCAACTGAGCCTGATGATGCCCAGAGCATGAGACATACTCATTACTGTTAGTGTTTTAACCCACGACCACGCTTGGGGATCATTGACTGCCACGACAGATAATTGCAATAGCCCCATAGTATAATGGTTGGAAGGACCGGTCTATCCAGGCTTAGCCCACATGCTGTCCTCTCTCCTCCTATGCTCAGAGCAGACACCACCATTCAATCGCAGCACATTCCCTGAGGCCAGACCTGCCTCGGAGTCCTGTTCCCCCAGAGATCCAGGCCGGCACTGCGAAGTTAGTGGAGTTGAACTGATTTGCCATCAGGGATCTAAGGTTTCAGGCAGCTGTGCCCAGAGAAGGTTCCTGGCGGTAGCTTAGGGGAAATGTGGGCAAAGTAGCTAGGGCTGGTGCTCCTGCAAACCTAAATTGAGAATGGATGGCAAGAGTTCCCCGGTGGGTTCTAAGGGCCATGCCAACCTCCCCGGCTGTCTCCTACATCATTCCTTCTTCCATAGCGCAGCTCTGGGGCTCTCTCCCAGCCCCTGCTCTAACACAGTGTCAGGAGGTCCCCACTGAGCCTCTGTGAGCAGTCAACACGAGCCATTCCATGGAGAGAGAGCCAGAATTGTGGGGTGCCAGGCTCTTAACTTCCCACACTCTGAGGAATGCTTGGAGGGGTGCCTGGGTGGCTCAGTCGGTTAAGTGTCTGACTATTGGTTTCAGCTCAGGTCATGATCTCAGGGTCGTGGGATCGAGTCCTGTGTCAGGCTCTGCACTCAGTGCAGAATCTGCTTGTCCCTCTCCCTCTGCTCCTCCCCGCCCCACCGGCTCTCCCCATCCCTATCTCTAAAATAAATACACTTTAAAAATTAAAAAAAAAAAATGCTTGGAAGACCAGCTTCCACAAGCCTTGCCCCCCCGGGCCTACCCCGCCATCCACATGCTGGCCTTGGGCCACCCCGTCTGCAGCCCAGGCAGCTGGTGACAGACAGGCACCCCAGATGGGAAAGGAGGAAGAGCCGGGTCCCCACATGCCTCCCGCTGGCTGCTGACCCAGTGTCCTAGTGTGTGACTGGGAAGTGAAAGTCCAGCTCCCTGCCCCGGCTTCCCTCGGCGGGGCCCCAGGTCGCTGGGCTGACCTCTCAGTCTTCCCTGTAGGCCTCCTACTTGGGGGGCTGCCCCTGGAGCAGGCAGAAAAGCAGCAGCTGGGAGCAAGAGGCGCGTGGAGATGGCTGGAGGCGAAGTGCGGGGGCTGGCGGAGGAAGGAACGTGGCCTACCTGTTGACGAGCAGGAAGTTCGCCATGAGGCACAGCATGGAGGAGACGGTGGAGGCGATGGTCAGGTAGCTCTCAAAGTAGTTCTGCAAGCACAGAAGTGAGGGGGCTGCTGATGTCACCGGGGGTGGACGGGAGGGCCCCCCGGAGAGCGGAGACAGGGCTCCTCCTGGGGGGCTTCTCCCCACTGTCTTCAGAAACCAATGAGTGATGGACAGGTCTGCTCCAAGACGGCATGGTCCCACCCCATGGCGACCTACGACCACTTACAAGGTCACTCAACAGATACCAATATGAGCTGTGCGAACTGCTGGGGACGTAAGTTAGGATAAGACATTGTCCCTGCCCTCAGAGAGGCCCCGAATGCTCTGCAGCCCGTGCTCCCCCCGACTCTACCTGTCCCACCCACAGATGAGCCAATGGGGACAGGACTCAACTGTGAGCGTGTGCACACAGAGAGACTGTGCCCTACCAGCCTGCTTTGCCTCCCGCCAAATTTCAATTATCCAAATGCACTTTGTTATAACCCAACCACATTCTCGCGTTCTTGCAACCAAGTGGGGCCTCTTAGAAATACACCAACCCTGATGACTGTGGGGAAACTTTGTTCTGACTCTGGATTTGCTTCCTCGGAGAGATGCTACCCAAGGTCAAGTCCACTTTGGGAAATGGCTCCTAGACTAGCCAAGAGGAGGGAAAAGGGTATTTTTCTGGAAGCAGTTGCAGGGGATTCTTGATGAAGCGTGCATGAGACCACACGAGGAAGAGCACCAGATTATAACGTGCTGGAATTTACAGCTAAAGAAACTGTATGGCAATTGCACCTGGTTCTCCAAACTCAGAGAACTGTCCACTCATTAGGATAGATTTTACTGCATATCCGTTATTCCTCAATATACCTGTCTTAAAAAAAAAAAAATCAAAAAGGGCTGACATATCTTGGCTTTGGTCATTGTATGTCAAACCATGAACCCCAGGTTGGTAATGATTATGGGTGTTAAGCCGTGAGAATAGATCACACGTATGAAGCATTTCCTGTGTGCCTGATACAAGAGCTTTATATTAAGTATGTTGTTTAATCTGAAAAATAAAAGAGAAGCTGTGAGCATTCTAGTCTGGAAAGCTCACAAAATTGGACTTAACTGAGGTGATATTTTGAGTTACAAATGTGCCCAGCACAAGGGACAATGCGTGCAAAAACTTCGCCAATGTGAGAGCACGGTGGCAGTTGTGGGGATCACGACAGAGAACGAGACACGCTTCCTGCCCGCTAAGAAGGAAGCATCCCACTGGGAGTGTAATACAGAGTGTGAAGGTATTTTCATCTCAAAACACCACGGGAAGAGATGTCAGAATTCTGTGGGGTTTTTTTGTTTTTTATTTTTGCCAAATCAGAGGTAGGAGCGGTGAGTTCTAGAAGGGGTTCTGGGTGGGGGAGTGGGACCAGGGAGGAGGATCACATGAGAGAATGGGAGTGAATATGGGTTTGGGGAAAGGTCCCAGAGGAGGTGGGATCTGAGTCAGACCTTGACACAGAGGGTCAGAGCTGTTCTTTCTGAAACAGTCTGATTGCAACGTGGAGCCCAAAAGAGAAAGATATCATAATGTACTCCTTCTGGTCTGAAACCGATTGTTCCAGGGTCTCTTTTTAAAGCCTGCAGAGTGCTTTGTGGTCTTTGAAATCTGCACCCTGAATATAAGGTGGTGGTGGCCTTGCCATTAAAATGGTAATCACAGTGAGTGCGGTCCGTCAACCATGAGCCTTAGAAATAGCCTTCCTCCTTTGAGGTGCCACCTCATTGTTCCTGCCCTGATGGGCTCAGTAGAGCCTGGACTGGTCCGAGGCACTCAGTCAATTACGTCTTGACACAGTGGCTGAGCCTACGTGAGGCCAGGCAGGCGGCAGGCAGGAGCCACGGAGAAAGGCCCCGAGGAAGAGACAGCCGCATGTGGGGGGCCAACCAAGACGGCCCCAAATCCGAGCCCCCTAACGGGGCTCCCTTCATTCAGTGGCTGCTCATTCCATGGCAAGCCTACAAACGACTATTGCATGGGATGCAGAATCTCTGCCTTTGTTTTTCAAGCAGGCTCAGGTTCCCTGAACATTTTAAGAATGGGGATTTCCTAGGTAATTGCATGTTCTGGTTTGTTGATATTTAAGCAGAAAATTGTCCTTTTAATGTTGGAAAGCGTTTTAAAATATTGACAACGGAGTAAGGCTCTGCCTCCCTTTCTGTGGATGGAGCCCATTTTCTTGGCTTTTCAAAGAGCAGGCAGGAGGGGCGGAATGGACTGGACCCTGGACCATTTTCCTACTGATACATATTGGGGGCTGTAGAAGGTTGCGTAGGCTGACTCAGCACACCTCGTGGAGTTTTTTTTGTTTTTTTTTTTAACTTAGTTCCTGATATAAACATATTGATGGGGGGGGAGGGAGGTTACTTATTTGATGCTTTTGCCTGTAAGTAGAGTTCTAGCAAAACGTGGTGGGCAGACTCTCTAGGTGGCCCCCATAGTCCCAGCCTCCTGTGCTCACGCCCTTGTATGTGACACCCTCTGCTAAGTATGGGTGGGACCTGTGACTTGCTTCTAACCAAGAGAATACGGCAAAGGGGCAGACATACAGGATAATGTGTATGGGATAATGTTACGTGAGATGGTAGCACCTGTCTTCCTGGACTCTTTTTTTCCTCCCTTGATGGCTTAGAGGATGCAAGGGGCATCCTGGGGAACCCCAAGTGGCAAGAACTGCAGGTGACCCCTAGTTGCTCAGAGAGGTTTCTGGCCAACACCCAGCAAGAAACTGAAGCTCTCAGTCCTACGACTGCAAGGACCTGGATTCTGCCAACAACCCAAATAGCCTGCAAGTGATCCTTCTCCAGCCGAGCCTCCAGGGAGACCGCAGCCCTGGCTAAGCCCTTGACTGTGGCCGTGTAAGACCCAGAGCCGAGGACTCCGTCAAGCCATGCCCCGACTCCTGGCCCATGGGCACTGTGAGAAAATAAACGTGTGTCGTGTTAAGCCGCTAAAGCGTGCAGCTTTTTGTTACACAGCAATACATTCCTCATGAACAAGGGCTTTGGACAGCTGAGTTCCTACTATCCAGGGTTTTTCTGCATCTTGCTGCCTTCTTGTAGTTTACATTCGGTTTCTCGATGAAAACAGGGACAGCTGACCCTGATCTTGCTAGACATGAAGACCAGTGTATCTGCCTGTGAGGGAAACAAAGGCTATGCTTGCTGACATCAGTCCCCTTAGCCTTTCCTCATCAACTCCTTTGCTGAAATTAGGTTCATTTTGTGCCGATTCCAAGAAACAGGACTTAGCTTACATGCCACCCCAGTCTGCTCACCTTGCCCGCCCTGCGGGCCATTTGCCTTGCTACTCAGTCCCACGGACATAAAGCCACTGCCCCCAGAGAAGGAGCCGACTGCGAGGGACAGAGCCCTGTGCTGCACACTGCCGGACCGCACCCTCGAGGCTCTCGCTCCTTGGGTGACGGTGGGAGGGGTCAGGTGACACTCTCTGAAGTCGGGGAGAGGAAAAGCCCCATGACATAGGCTTTGACCAATGAGAGGCGGGAAGTGGGAAGGAGACAAGAGATAAACTTCTTGACTTTCTTCTCCCCCAACCACCTGGTCTAAAATGTGGTGGCCCCATGTGACTTCTCTGGATTCATGCTGGGTGCCTGAGCAGCCAGCAGCTGTGTTTGGTTGCAAAGCTGGGGCCAGCCTGCGTTTGCTCTCTCCCACCCCCGCCTCACTTCCCTTTTCCCCCACTCTTGCTTCCCTAGGACGGCTCACCCTGAGATGGGGTTCACACATAACGGGTGGCCTCGGGCTCCTTTCTAAGAAACATCCAGCAGTGAAGGCCCTACTGTCCACCCTGGATTACGCCCTTTGCAGACCTGCAGTGGGCATTTCCTTCCTGGGTTTGTCTCATTTGCCTGCAAGGGATGTTGGGGGCCCCTTCTCCCATTTTACTCCAGGCAATGTAGAACATTTGAATATTGGTTCAAGCACATTGGCAACTGTCCTGCCCCCTCCAAAGCAATCCGTCCTCTCCATCCCATAGGGCGATCTTATGTCATGCAATGTGTGGGGATGATTCATGCCACAGTTCACCTGCACTTGGGTCTGGTTCCTAGGAGCTCCCTCAAGAGGCTCCGTTGTTATTTACCACACCAGGTGCCCCACAACATGATTGATGAACATGGCCTCCACCTCCAGACCCCAAAGGCCAGCGCCGGCCAGGCAGGAGTGGAGGGAGGAGGAGAGCCCCCGGGCAGTGGCACTGGGCCACCTCGGGGGACAGCAGAGTCTGTGCTTTGCACACCCACAGGGAGCACCAATCCTAAAGCGACGAGATGAATGAAGCCCCTCACGGCTGTGCCACATGGTAGGCCTGCTTATACAGTCCACGGAAAACCTACATCTTGGGGAGTCATTCCTATAGGTAGGAGACTGTGTGACTCAGCAAGCAGGCAGGGCTGGAAGACGGCTGGGAGCAGCAGGGCAGGACATGATGGGATGACAGGGCCTCTCGGAACAGGGTTCTCTTGCCTCAGAGGTCGGGAGCCCCAGAGGCTGGTAATCCCACGGCCCTCCGCCTGGCCGGTGGCCGCTGCCCATCCAACCAGCAACCCACTCCTTTGTTCCCTGAAGCTGTGGCCACCCCTGTGTGCCCTGCACTGTGCTGGTGGCTTGGTGTTTACCCTCTGGGAGCATGTAGCCTGGCACTGTCCTGCAGCTGGAGTACAGGGGACACAAGGCATGGTGGGAGGAGGGAAGGAGGGGCCCAGGGGGGCTTCCTGCAGGAGGCCCTCTTGGACTGCAGCCCGAAAGGTCAGGGAAGTTTGCCAGAAGGATATGGGGAGGTGGCGGTGCTGGCAGGGAGAGAGACCACACTCCAGGAGGCAGGAACAGCACATGCAAAGGCCCGGGGGATGCTTCTTTGCCACTTATGGCTTGGACCCAAGTCCCTTTGTTGGAACAGACTCCCTGAGGCCCTCCTCGGCATTGACAGGAATCAACTGCACTGTGCTGTGCATCCCGCCCAGACATCCCAGGAGAGGCGGTCATGGAGC